TCTTCAGAGAAGTGTCTTTTCATGTCTTCTGCCCATTTTTTGACTTGATTATTTGTTTTTTGGGTGTTAAGTTTGAGAAGTTCTTTATAGATCTTATAAAAAAAAAAGATTTATTTGAGAGAGAGAGAACGAGCAGGGTGGGGAGCAGAGGAAGAAGCAGACTCCCTGCCAAGCAGGGAACCTGACACGGGGCTTGATCCCAGAACCCTGGGATCATGACCTGAGCCGAAGGCAGATGCTTAACCTACTGAGCCACTCAGGCGTCCCTTGTTGGGAGTTTTTTGACTACCGATTCAATTCCATTATACTAATTGGTATGTTAAGATTTTCTATTTCTTTTTGGTTGATTCTCAGAATATTGTCTATCTTTAGGAATTTATGCATTTTCCCTAATTTGTCTAATTTATTGACAAATAATTTGTTATAGTAGTCTCATAATCTTTTGTATTTCTGTGTTATTAGTTGTAACTTCTTTTTTTTAATTCTTTTTTTTTAAAGATTTTATTTATTTGACAGAGAGAGACACAGCGAGAGAGGGAACACAAGCAAGGGGAGTGGGAGAGGCTGAGCAGGGAGCCCGATGTGGGGCTCGATCCCAGGACCCTGGGATCATGACCTGAGCCCAAGGCAGATGCTTAATGACTGAGCCACCCAGGCGCCCCTTCTTTTTCATTTCTGATTTTATGTATTTGAGCCCTCTTCTTTTTTCTTGATGAGACTGGCTAAAGGTTTATCAATTTTCTTAATCTTTTCAAAACATCAGTTCCTAATTTCTGATCTATTTGATATCATGTTTTTGGTCTCTATTTCATTTATTTCCACTCTTTATTATTTCATTCATTCTGCTAAATTTGGGCTTCATTTTTTCTTCTTTTACTAGCTCCTTTAGGTATAAGATTAGACTGAGATTTTTCTTGTTTCTTGAGGTAGGCCTGTATTGCCATAATCTTTCTTCTTAGAACCACTTTTCTCCATCCCATAGATTTTGAAATGTCATGTTTTCAGTTTCATTTGTCTCCAGTTATTTTTTATATTTCCTCTTTGATTTCTTCATTGATCTATTTTTTAAAGATTTTATTTGACAGAGAGAGAGAGAGCTCAAGCAGGGGGAGCAGCAGAGGGAGAGGGAGAAGCATGTACCCCGTGGAGCAGGGAGCCCAATGTGGGGTTCGATCCCAGGACCCCAGCAGACACTTAAATCGTCTGAGGCACCCAAGTGCCCTGACCTATTTGTTGTTTAGTAGCGTGTTGTTTAGCTTCCACGTGTTTTTTGGTTTTCTACTTACTATTTTTTTTTTGTAACTGATTTGTAGTTTCATAATGTGGGCAGGAAAGATGCTTGCTTTGATTTCAGTCTTCTAAAATTTATTGAAATTGTTTGTGGCCTCAAACGATATCTGTCCTGGAGAATATTCCATGTACACTTGAAAAGAATGTGAATTCTGCTCTTTTTGAATGGATTGTTCTGTTAAGTCCATCTTGCCTTATGTGTCATTGAAAGTCATTGTTTCATTATCAATTATCTGTCTCGATGATCTATCCATTGATGTAAGTGGGGTATTAAAGTCTTCTATTATTGTTGGCTGTCTGTTTCTCCCTTTATGTCTGTTAATATTTGCTTTATATAATTAGGTGCTCCTATTTTAGGTGTATAGATATTTACAAATGTTCTTTCTGTTGGATTTATACCTTTATCATTATGTAATGCCTTTCTCACTTATTACAGTCTTTTATTTATTTATTTGTTTGTTTGTTTGTTTATATTCCAGTATAGTTTCAGGTGTATAATTAGTGATCCAACAATTCTATATATTACTCAGTGCTCTTCATGATAAGTGTACTCTTAATCCCCTTCCCTTGTTTCACCCACCCCCACCTCCCCTCTGGTAACCATCAGTTTGTTCTATATAGGTAAGAGTGTTTTTTGGATTGTCTCTGTTTTTCATTGTTCATCTGTTTTGTTTCTTAAATTCCACATATGAATGAAATCATATGGTATTTGTTTTCCTCTTAATGATTTGGTTCATTTAGCATTATATCCTCTAGATCCATCCATATTGTTGTAAAATGGCAAGATTTCATTCTTTTTCATGTCTGAGTAATATTACATTGTATATACACATCACTTCTTTTGTGTATGTATGTTTTTATCTGTATTTATATATATATATTTTTAAGATTTTATTTATTTATTTGAAAGAGAGAGACACAGCGAGAGAGGGAACACAAGCAGGGGGAGTGGG